AAATGAGCCAAATTCCAGGAAAACTAAATCAATTTTAAACAGACACTATCCTTTCCACTTTTAAATCGGGTAGAAAAGTTGCAAAGAATAATGTGGAGAAAGCAAAATGTAGAACAATATGTGTATTACTTGTGCTTTTTCTGACTAGTAATAATAATCGGTTCTCCAAATCAGCACTAAATGTGTCCCTAGAGGAGATCATGGTTTATATTCCTGGGATCATTTTGGAAGGGTAGACATTTGCCATACAAAATTGATTCTTCCTGGATTAATCATTGACAAACTTCACTACACAGTTGTGTTGTGTTTGGTTCTATTAACCTTCAGGATAGTAAATTTCACGTAAAACTTAGTCTTACAAAAATGTTTTCGTCCAGCTTCCAATAACATATGGAGGACACTCTGAATAATTTTTGCTTCATCCTTTCCCATGTTGCTCGATCCATTCTCAGCGAAGACTGAGTCATGGCAGAAACTCAGCAAGAATCAGGACCCAGAAAGCAAACTGCTCTCCAGCTGCTTCTGATTCAGGGCTTGACTTGAGCTTTATTTTAGTGTGTGAGGCAAGTTTCCCATGACATTTTTTCCAGGACGTCAGAGAACTCTATAATTATATCTTTGTACAAAACATAAAAATTCAAGGGGGATTGGAGAATATCCATCACACTTCTGTTCCCTTTCATGTGTGTATCTTCTCTTCCTAGCTGATTTCTAAATTGCCAAATGTTTTGTTTGACTAAATGTTTAGGAGTTGCTTGGCTATATCTATTCTAGCAAAGCAAACCAAAGTAAAATCTCTCTTTCTCTCTCTCTCTCACACACACACACACACACACACACACACACACACGTACACACACACACACACACACACACACACACACACACAGTGATGGAACAAGAAGGTTCCTGAGATACCATCTCATTCAAGAATCTCCTTTATGGCTGCAAACTATTCCACCATGTATATGCACCACATGTTTTTATCCACTCCAACAAAGAGCTGAGTGCCACATGTTCTCACTTGTAAGTTTACCCTGATCATTTATCATAACAAGAGATTGGCAGTAGCAGATCACTGTTGGGGGGTGGGGACATAACACTTGATCCCAAACCAGGCGAAGTAAAGATCACTGGGAGGCCTGAACTTCACTTGTACGATGATCACTTATGTACCTAAACTTAAATTGTACCCCACATCTTTAAAATAATAATAATAAAGGATCTCTTTGTTCAGGTTAAGAAATGTAAACACAGGAAGCTGAAGAGAGTTTTCCAAACCAAACATATCTGGGGGCAGAGCCAGGTTTCAGACCCAGGTCTCGTACTCCTGTATTTTTCATCCTCCTGTTCCTTGTCAGCAGTAATTACCATGATTTGAACATGTTATGAAACATCTAGCAAATATCTTCCAACTTGCACATATGACTTTTAATGTGCTTCACAATTTTTTGTTTCTATGTGTTTTTATACATGTTTTTATGTGTTCTAAAACTTAGTCAAAGAAATGGAACAGTAATAAAAGGAAGTAGATATACAGAGCAAAAGGAGAAGTGTACTTTCTTCTGATTTTCTCTTGCCTTTTGGTCCCTAACCCCGGGGAAGGTGCTGGTGACTGCACAGGTAGGACACCAATGGGGTTGAGTAAATAGATCTGCATCTTTACCAGGAGCTGTAAAAGGGACAGTGCTTATGTACGTCTGAATAGCAGTCTTTCTAGCTTTGTTGTGTTCCTGCAAATGGTTACAGGACAGTCAACCTGTTGACTCGTACTCAGTGGTTCTGAGACCAAGTTTGGGCCTGAGTGGTCTTGAACAACTTTATTTCCAGTTTTCTTACATTCCCCCACAGGCAACCCATTGACTCTGGTTCAGCACCAATTTATTTACATGTTTCCTTACCTAATTTTGTCTGAGGACTAGAATAATAAATGCAACTTTCTCAACTTACTACCTGAAATGAATATTGTAAAAAGCAGAGGGACCGATTTATACGTTAAATTATTCATCATATGTGCTTATTGATACTAGTCTTTAAGATGTGAAAAGAGAAAAAAGTATTTTGTACTATCTGGCAAATTTAGATGATTTTTATATATTTTGCTAATTATCAACACGTTATATGTGTATATGTCTTTACATGTAATCTATATATTTCTGTTCACATATGGAACATTTATAGTTACAGGCACACATATTATGACTACTGCCATATAAAATGAAACATATGGATAAGAAATTCTAAAGTCAGCCAAACATCCAAGGAGTTTGTTCAAACTCAATATCTCATTTCTCAGAAGCATTTGAAAGCTGAGCATCAGAATCTATTTTTATTTGAATGTTTTACATAGACTCAGTCATGCTTTATTTTCCAGAAAGCATTCAAATAACTAAAAGCAAGTTCAAGTTCCTACAGTCTAATTAAATATTTCTTACTTATTATGACATATGGAAATATCTTTTATAGTTCTAATAGGCCACGCCATGACCCAAACCTTACACTTCTCTTTCTTTATGGTGGCAAATTAGTACTTACATTTTAAAGCTGAAGAGTTCAAATTAATGTGGTTTAGACATAATTTGTGAGTTTCCCAGGACCTGATATAATTTTCATGGAAGATCAGCTAGTCAACATGTTAGAAATGCTACAGCAAGTTTCTTCCTAACTTCTGAATTTTTCTTTCTCTACAAGTATATTTTAAACAGTGGCTAGGAATAAAATATTTCAGTTTGGCAAATATTTATTGAACTCAGGGCAAAGCATATAGCTTGAGATTGAAGCTAAATATATGAATAAAACCAGTCCTTTCTTCAAGGAGGTCGTAATTTAGCAGTGAGTCAGAGGAATATGTACTAACGAAATTGCAAGTCAATGCAGTAAGAAACTTAAGCAAATTCTAAGGCGAGCCCAGAGGAGGGAGGAGTTCATTCTGACTTGGGACATTAGGAGAGGTTTGACAAGGAAACATGGGCATTCGTGTTACTCCTTGAATAGTGTAAACAAATAAACATCCCAGCTGACCTGGGAAAGTCCCAGTTTACACTGTTATCCAGGTGTGATTTTTAATTCTGCCCTTTTCCTCTTAAAGGTTTCCTTTGGCCAGTAATATATGTGAACATTCCTATTTTAAAGCATACACAAGTTGTTGACAGGGAGAATTTAGAAAAAAGAATTTCAGGTGGACCAAAAAGCAAACACAAAAGGCATGGAAGAATAAAACTCCTTGGTATGTCCAGGAAAAAACTGGGTGAATCCTTCTCTTGTATGCACAAAAGGGCTTTTTTTTTTCCTTTTCTGTTGCTGATTGAATTGAATGGGAGCATGTTCTACAAGAATTGGCATGAACCTTCTATTTGCCTGTTTAACTTATTTTTCTTTCCAGGAATGTGACTACTGTGCAGCACAGACCTTTTCCTGTATTTATCCCTCATTTTCTATGTTCATTTGATTAGACAGTTTTATTTCTGGCAGTGTACTATTTTTACATCACAGGGAAAGAGAGGGAAATTAAAAACCAATTCATACATTTCATTATGTGCCTTCTAATCAGTTAACACAGAATTGGAACATACAACGTGTTTGAAATTTACTCTTGTACTTTCTAAGAACCAAATGTTTAAAGAAAAAATAACCTAAAATTTGAAAGATATTTTCTCTGTCTTCATAAATATTCAAGAGGAAAGAATGGAATATGCTGAAATAATAAAGAAAATCCTGACTAACTTGCATTGTTTTAGGGCAATAGTTACATCATTACTTTTTGTGTGATAAAGTCTACTTCAGATAGAAATATTTTCCATATTTTTGACAGAAAGATTCTAAATTTAGAACAAAGAAACAATATATATGAATAATAACACAGTCACCAACTAAGCAATTCCAACCAAAAATTCTGTAAGTGTCAATGTTGTGAGCAGAAGAGGAAGAGCGATCGCTATGTCTTGTCTCAGGAGAGGGGGCAGGAAAAGGTGGGTCCAGCTCCCTTCTCCAACCTCTTGCCAGACCTGGCTCTCTCTCTGGAGTTTCTTCTGAGATGGTAGAAACGTCAGTCCACACTGCAGCAAGCCCTTAGCTCTTTCTTTCTCAGCTCAGTTTAGTATCAAGGTTTCTCACAGCATGAACCCAGGATCCTCTTCCACAGCTTTTCTCATGAGCAGATGATATGAAGGCTACAGGTCTACAGAGAGGGCTTCCGAAGCTTTGGAAATTAGCTAGAATGTCCAGAAACTTAGAAGAAGCCTTTATATTTGACAGCCTTATCTAATTAACTTGGTTTTTATCATTTCACATTCTAACAAGACAATACACTCAATTGGAGATGTCATTTTGATGATAATAATCTTTCCCTCATCTCCTCGGTCCTTCATCTCTCTCATCATGACTCACACACTGGTCTTCAAATCCACCTAGCTACCTCTAGTTTCTTTACACTCCAGTTCATTTCTGGGTCTCTCTCAAGATGATCCTTTTCATATGTGACTTGATATCTCCCAAGACTGCAGAATAACGCTGCAGTTAACCTGAAGTGCAGTATGCAAGGCTGTGCACAGTTCCTTACACTGTTTCCTTTTTGTACCTATTGCCTTCACAGAATTTTAGCCTTGTGAACTTGAACTTGCTATTAAACCTTCCCTGACTCCTTACTTAGTTATGCTTATCTGTGTATTATCATACCCGTGACTGGATATTCTCATGGGCCTGAGTATCCTTGGAGGTCCTGTTTATCTTTGTGTCATCACTGTGAGAAAACAAACAAAAAAGATTCCCATTTGGGTAGAGCTTTCTTAAATAAAAACCAATAGTCTTGATTGGTTTCATTGGCTCCAAATGACTGTATGTTTGAGGCCATATTTAGCTAATCACACATTCCTATAGATAGGCAATATGAGGGCGTATATGCATAATGATACTGAAACCAAACATCAATATGGAATTTCTTCTAAAGCTGGATAGACAACATGCATTCAGTTTTCAATAGATGATCACACAAATCCCCATCATCACTTTCATATAAATATGTTTTATTGCAGAGAAGTTATAATTATTTACATGCTGCAACACGTCACAACATAAATTTACCAAATAGTTCATGGTGGGATGCTGTAGATTTCAGATAATAGTTTTAGGAGAACTACAGGTTAAGTGAAGAGACTTACATCTTTATTGATTCTACATCTCTTGGTTGCTAAATGCTAGAAGTCAAAAGGCAGTGTTTTTCAGTCCTACCTGTCATAACTTGCATGCAGAAACCTAGGAAGCAAATACAAGAGAACTGTCGAGTTTCAAATCCATATTGCCACCAAAGTTTACAATGGGTTGAGTTATACTTCATGTTGTAAAGCATTTAATTCTTGCATAAAATATACAGTTCTATTAAGATTGGTATAAATCTACTTATTTATAAACCCTGGCATAAAAACAAGGACAGGATGCAGCCTGCACATGCATTGAGAAGGACAACCTAGCAAATGTTTGCAACCTTAATAGTGTTTATTCACTTTCTTATTGTTATCACTCTGAAAAAATAACCTCCGGAATTGTAAATTTAAACTTCTCTTGGTGCTAAGTAATGGCAATGAAACTCTCGGGAAGACCCTAGGCACTCTCACTGTCTTATGCTGGTGGAGAATAATCTATGAACTATTGAGCGTCACTACGGTATAATTTGGCAAGTCTCTTTTTAAGCCACATCTCTAGCAGGATCATCCTGGAGTGCAATAAAAAGTCATTGGTGCTTGACCACATATTTCTCAATAAAGGAATCAAGTGCTAACAGATCCCAGACATAAATGAAACAAGTGTGTGGGTCTAGAGGCTCCAAACCAAATTCACAAAAATACTTTAAAGTAGGTCACCAAGCACATAGGCCTTCACTGAAAAGGAAGGGATGAAAAATAAATGCAGGAATGCACAAAAATAGAATTTCTATATCTTTTCAAACCTACCCCACCAACCTGAGTAATGCACAAAGCAAGCAACTGGGTGAGGAAGATTTGTACACAGCTTTGCAAAACAGTGAAGTGCTCGCTTACTCCTGAATAAAAATCACTGGGAAAAATTTGATGATGAATGTGGAGAATTCTGTTTTTACCTTCCACTGAGAATAATGTTCTCTAAGAACAGCCCTTTATCTACTATCTGATTCCCTTTTTCCATCTTTTATCCTCCTAGCATGTTCTCCTTGCCGCTCATGGAATAAAAAACAGTTATTTAGGCTGGAAGTGTCCTGGCCAAATAAGCAGTTGATACTTCAGTGTTTACAGTGAGAAAAAGGGAAGTCTCGGTTCTATTTTTAAGTAATTTATCTTTAAATAAAATAAGGCTGAGCTTTGGAATCTCACTGTAGGATCACACCAGTAGGGCTAAGTCAGCAGCTGAGGATTTTCATGCCAAGAGATCAGCGTAGTATGCAATAAGTTTTATACAATATGCTTTGGGGACTGTTTTGCCTTGCAAATAAACCTTATACTTTACATTTTGAGCTAGGGGTTCACAATGGCTATTTGCAGGACTTGTAAGTTTTCCAGTGCTTGGGAGAATGAAGAGCCCATATCACCTTATAGGCTTTGAATAAATAAGGTCATAAAACCTCTTTGGGATTTGAGCCCAGCAAGTTCTACCTCTAGCTGAAGCAATAAGAATTTATGAGAATAAATAGTTTAAGGTAATTTAAAATATTATATTTTCAGTATGCATAATAAAAATATATCCATACAATGATTTTGATGCTATCATAATTTTTCTCTTTAAAAAAATAATCCCTTGAAAGTGCTATCAGGAGCTACTTTCCTGTCTTTGTTTTGAAAGGCAAATGTCTGGTTGTGTAGTACTGTATATTTCTCATGTCATTCCTAGAGTCTTCCCTTTCCAGTGGTAATAATAATGCACAGTGTATTTTTCTCACTCTTAGCATCTTCCTTAGGAAATGCTGCTAAGTATGAAATACTGAAAGAGTAAAAGGGACGATTAATTGGAATGAAGGTATTATCTATCTCTGACTTCGAATAAACAATGGATAAGTTGTCCTTAACTTATTGAGACATATGACAAAGTAGGACCACTTGATCTCTAATATTAATAAAGCTTCTGAGTCCTAACAAGAAGTGCAAAACAGGAAACTTAACTTGTATAAAAAACCCTGATTAAGACAGTATAACAAACCATGATGTGAAATAATAGAGTAAAATTCAAATTCACCATATATAAACCACAGCCAAAACTAAAATGTTTTATCATAACAGTTATGGCTTCCCAAGCCAGAGAAAGCTTACTGTACTTCAAGAATCAACTAAAGTTGATAGATAGCAGGTAATCTGTAAGGTGCAATAACAATTGAGTAGCTGCAGATTGCATAAATGTGTTGTGTCACATAATACCAAAGTTATTTGCAAAAATTATACAATCTGGAATGCTTGAATATGAGACACAACAATGTACTGAAACATACATTTATAAGAAAATGAGAGCAATCATTAATATAAAAGGTATTTTTGGATGCAGTAAGTTAGCAGTGCTATCAAGGTTAAATAGGTAAAGTAAGTTCTTTTCAGTCAGCTACTTAGAATTTCAGTCATATATGTCTATACCTTTTTCTTCTTTGCAAAATATCTTCTGTGTCTTCTAGCTTGCTTTGCTTAGGACCAGGGGTAAACATTGATAAGGGGCGGACATTGTGGGCTATTCCCCTTAAACATGCTGAAGAGTAAAGATTTTCCTAGTGATACTAGGGGAATGACTTTTCTTGGCCACAGTCTAAGTTCTCTATTATGATGTTGCTGCTCCTTCTTTTCTGGTCCTCTTTCGCCCATGCCTTTGACCTTACCTCACTGTCTATCATGCTTCCCTTGACTGATAAATACTCCTTGGGAATTTTTGATTCTTATATTTTCTGTCTTGTATCTAATCCTGGGTTTCCCCCTTCTCCCCTTCTTCCTGGGGATGCTACACTTTAAACGTATCCCAGACCTCTTCTTTCCGAGGCCCTGCTATCTTATTTGCACTTAGAGTAGAAGAGGCAGGTAAAGCTACACTTCTTTCAGCATTTGGTTTATCTGGAATCTCAAACTCCCAAGGACACACCTCAGCTCGTGATGTTAAAGGTCGTTGAAAGTTATTACTTGAGTTACAGAAGCCAGGCACATTTTCCTCAGAGGAAGATGTCTTTTCTCCCTGGTCTATTTGGCTGAGATTTTCATTTTCTATTTTCAATGCTACAGCTTTGGGGGGCAGTTCTTCATACTGCCCAGCACACATGTTGGCTGCATGAGGCTGACCCCCGTTGTTGTTTTTAGCTTTCCCTGGAAGAACTGCAGTTTTGGAAATCAAATTCTTCTCATCTTCCAAAAGGGGCTGGCCTTGGCTCTCCCAAGGGCACACTTCAGCCTTATCTAGGCCCTTTTGATTGGACTGCTGACAAACCTCAGCTGCCTTAGGCTTGTGGTGAGATTTCTCCTTTAAGGAAAAAGTTGAGTTTTTCTCCATTTCAGAAGCCACAATAGATACGTGTTTTTGAACTTTTGATTCAGAAGGCACAGGACCAGGGGTCAGGTCATAAATCTCCCAAGGGCACACTTCCCCAATGTCAAAGTTGTCCTTCATCTGGGTGGTGCCCGGGCTCAGGTCAGAATTGGCAGTGGGGAGATTGATCCTTTGCTGTTTCATAATCCCAGATTTCTGAGGCTTTCTGGGCTCCTCCACATGACTGGAGTTTTGGAGGGCAGAATCTTTAGTCTCTGTGTTATCCGAATTTGAGTAATTTCTGTTTGTCTCTTTATCTTTTGGCAGAGGTTTCTGGGATTTAGCACGTTCTTCCACACCTGCTGTTTGGGTTTTCCCAGCTAATCCAAGAGTCTTCTCCTTGGCACTTGCTATGACACTGAGTGACTTCTGCAACATGGATGTGCGTGGGTGCCCGGGCTTCTTCTCCGAGCTGAGGTTGTGAGCGCTTGCTGACTTGCACACCAACGGCACTGACTCCGTGGACTCAGTCTCGCTGTCTTCTTTAAGCTTTTGTGTGAGTTTTTTACCTGACAGTGATTCCAATGTGGAATTTTCTGTTGCCTCCTCTTCCTGGCTTTCTGTGGGCAGGCTATTGGACTCTTCCGTCTGGTCTCTCACGTGGTCGTACGTGCTATGGGATTTCTTGAGAGAGAAGACTCGGTTTTTCAGGGATTCCTCCTTGGGTCTCCCAGCGTTACCTGAAGACTCTGGCGGGTTCTTCCTGGCAAGGGCAGTACTTTTGGCTGTGCCATGGTCTGCAACTTCCTTGTCCTCCTTGGAACACTGCCTGCTGACCGTCTCAGGGATCTCAGTAATACGCCTCATGATGGAACGGCCTAGGCCCTTCTTTGAGCACCGCTTTTTCTGGAGGTGGGGATTATTTGTGATCATCTTCTTCCTTTTGTATATTTCCAATTGGGCATAGAGTTTCTTTAGTTCATCCTGCCAGAATAAGAGCAAATTCAGAGGTATAGAATTTAATGTTTCAGCCAGAAAATACCCACTCAATGGTACTGGAATTCAGTAAGCATGAGCTCTTTTAGGGCAATTGCACTAAGCTCTCCTTAACATCAGTACTCACCAAGTTTTTCCTCACTCACATCTTCTGATTTTTTTTGCATTTTTTTCCACATAAAGTTTCAACTTTAAGATATGAACTCATGCATTCTACCTTTGCTTCATGAAGCATTTTGAACTTTCAAGTTATGTTGACCAGACAGAGCCTGGATCATAACAAAATACAGCATATTGTTTGCTGAAAAACCGTATCCCTGCATATTACTGGAAGCATTGACAGTTATGCTTGATGTTAGATTAGGTTCAAGAGATAATAGTTCATCAACTACTAAAAGCATCTTTTTCCTATAGATGCTGATATGTTGTCACAGTTTATTTTAAATAATCCAGGCTCTCTGCTCCACAGACCTATCCTGCCTTTTCAAAAACAAGCTGTCATAAACACGCATTATGGAATATGCATAATCAGCATATCATTGTGACTGCCTATAAGTCAGTCAAGACTATCAACTTTGGTCAGGTGAAATAAGAGGTGAAATAACCTGTGCATTCTAGTTTATACAATAATTATGCACTTTAGCACTGGATTAACCCTGCATTTGATATATTCACTTCATACACAAATACACATTTTCTTTCTTTCTGACACACATGCACAAACATGAGTGTGCACGCACACACCTACGCCTACACATGCTTTCCCGTATAAACGGGCTTAATCTGAAATAGGAAAAAATACATAGTACTGGCATTACCCGGATGTCCTCTGGATCCAAACTGTGCTCACTCCATGCTGAATTGATACTGCTGTTCAGGTAGGACCCAGATCGGCCCATGTCCAGCTCATCTTCATATGCTTCTGTGGCAATATCGTCTCGTGGGTTATTGCTTGAATGTGAAAACTGCAATAGATATTCAATATGAGCTGTAGACATCAGCCTACTATAAGACACAGCACAAAAATATGTATGTGTGTGTGTGTGTTGTTAGTTGTCTGTTTTTTTAGAGACAGGGTCCACTGTGTTGCCCAGCGTGGAGTGCAGTAGGTATTTACAAGCACAATCATAGCTCACTGCAGCCTCGGAGTCAAGCAATCCTCCTGCCTCAGCCTCCTGAGTAGCTGGGACTACAGGCACACACTGCTGTACCTGGCCTAGCAGAAGAACATTCTAAAGGTTATAACATTAACATCATTTCTTTAGCTTGATGAACCATTCACTAACTCTTTCCTAAGACTTGCTGCTATACTTGTGTTTTGCTTTCAATGTCACATGCTGGAGTGCTTAGTGAGGCAGTATTAGTATGTGTTCCTCTCTTTGGTTCCAATTTTCACCCTTGTCTCTTCTCCAGATTCCCAGTATTAACATCACTCCTCTTTTATGATGAATTGCATTTTGAAAATAAAAATAATACAAAAAAGTTCTCTAAGAGGAGTAATTTAGATCCATTGGCAACTGGATGAGAATTTTCTTTTGAGCAGTGGTTTCTATGTTGAGTTTGTCATTTTGCTTCACACAGGTGAGAATATATTTCATCTATGGGCACAGTTGGCCCTGTGACAAGATGTGACTTTCAGTTTACTATATATAGCTTCCAAAACGCTACTTTCAAAACTCAGCAGACAGAAGATGTGAATTCCAGCCTCAATACTGTCATCAGTGAGATCTGAAGACATGGAGCATCTCTGGAGTTCCCTCACAATCTAAAGAGCTTTGGTCTAGAAAGCATCTAAGTTGATATAAAAGATTCACTGAAGTTACAGATTATTCCTCAAGCTCATCATTATTCTCAAGCTCCTCCTTCATCCGGTTTTGATCTATTTTGATTATTTTCATGTGACCTTTTGATAACTTTCAGCTTCATGTGCTCTTGCTATCTCTGTTCTCCAAGTGGAGAAGTCAGGAAGAGGAAACTGGGCAAACAATGGAAAGCAGGAAGGAGGAGCAAACCAACCCAGCCATGTTCGACACAACATACAACCATGCGAGTGTCTTGAGAATACTGACGGGACGGCTTAGAGAACATCAATTCTCTCCTCCCAGCTTCTCATCAGGTCAAATATCCCTTTAAAAAAATTACCAGATCACTTGTTGGTGATAATAAGATATTTTAATGTCACCTTATATTAAAATATTCAGCTAACCAGATGAGCACATATATGAGATAACGTGAAATGGCAATTCTCTATTTAAATAGTAATGAATGTTTGGTCATTGGGACTGATTGAGAAACCCCAGAAACTCTGACTCTTTCCTTCACTCTTCTATGTTTGTGGGACCCATAGGTGGCATGAACTTAAGGCCATAAATGATGACCTTGATAGAGTCCTTACTTCCAAAATATCATTGCTGCTAGCTAAACTGCCTGGAGGTCACTTGTAGGACTGTAATTATTTTCCTTCTGCAAAGTCTTGGAGATAATCATGAGTTTAAGAAACAGAATCATTTGTCAGATATTGTCAATTTCTTGCTTTATTAATTTTCCTTAGCATTTATATCTATCTAAAATATTATTTTAGATATTTATCTTGTTTATTTGTCAGTTCCCCACACTCCCTACCCCAAATATAAGTACCATGAGAGCACAAATTTCAATCTGTTTATTATTCTTATGGTAAGGATACATAATAGTACCCAGCAAAATCCTTCAATATGTTAGAATTACCTTTTTATTGAGATAGAATTCACATACATACTATGAAATTTATAATCTTATGGTACACAAGTTAGTGTTTGTTAGTATGTTGATAAGGTTGGGCAATCATCACCACTATGAATTTCAGAATATTTTATCACCTAAAAAGAAACCTTGAACCCAGTTTAAGCAGTCACTTCTATTCCTCCTTCTCCCAGCCCATGGCAACCACTAATCTACTTTCTGTCTCTATAGATTTGCTTATTCTGCACATCTCACATAACTGGAATCATACAATGTACAACCTTTTGTGACTTACTTTTTAACTGGGCATAATGTTTTCAAGGTTTGTCCAAGTTGTAGCATGTATCAGTATTTCATTCTTTTTTTGACAAATAATATTCCATAATATGAATACACCACATTTCATTTATACATTTATCAGTTGATGTATATTTGGGTTGTTTCTACTTTTTTTTTTTGCAACTGTGAACATTCATGTACAAGTTTTTTATATGAACAAATGTTTTCAATTCTCTTTAGAGCCCGTTAACAATTTATTGAATACATAAATAGTCTGAGTATACCTCCATCTAACAAATGTATTATATTATGCAAAGTATTAAAATAGTTCAGATCAATTGCAGTAACAGACTAATCTATACAAATTTTAGCTTGTTGGTGTAATTCAAATAGGAAACAAAATAGGTATTTTGTTCTGTGTACAACAGTTTGACCTCTTCAATCAGGCTGAATCTCAGAGTTTTGGTTAACTGTGAGAGTTGAGAGAAAACCTGGCATGAAAGACAAGAAATTACAATTCTGGTTTCAGTTGTGCTAACATTATATTGTATGGCACTGATAAGACATATAGTGCTCCAATATTGTGTTTCTCTACCTATAAAAGATGAAAATAATGATAATGCTATAATTTGTATACTTTTTTGGTACAGCTTCAATATCATTTTATTTTATTCCAAGTAGCCTTACTATCATGTCATAGATGAGAAAATGGACACTCAGAGAGATCAGAAATCTCAGCTAGCATCCTACCACACAGTTTGTGGTGAGCATGAGACCAGAGTCCTTGTATTCTGAGTCCTGGCCCATTTTTCCTCATTTCATTGTGCTTCTTAGATAAGTCTTTGTCAGAATCTATCATTACTGAGATTTGTCTCTATATAACATCACTATTTATTTCTATTTACATAAAAATGTATCTGAAAGTTTCACAAACAAAAGACTTTCTGAATATTAATCCAAACAAGAGGATTCTTAGAATAGTTCTTTTAAAAAACCATCTTGCTGTTATAGCTACAGTGAAAGTTACCTTGAATTCATAATAATTAAAATATAAATAGCCATTAAAGTATTTGGAGAAGGAATGAAATAGATGATGAATGTTTATACAATCCAAGTCATTTAAAAATTATTTAATATGAAAATAAATCCAAAAAGAAAACAGTCCTTCAGTTTCCTGAGGAGGGAGCTTTAAACACCTTTTAGAATATTAAGCAATTTTTCACACTTCCCTTTGTATAAGAAAAAAATCCATGTTCATTTAAAACAATTGTCTTGCAAAAAAAAAAAAAAAAGGAAAGAAAAGAAAAGAAGAAGCTACATTAGAAGGATACCTTTGGAATCAAAAGCAACCCGATGGTGACAGTCACAGTCAAATGAGTATGTGCAAAATACAGCATCAACATCCAATCAGACTGAAGTCTTGAGGCAAGAACAAATCTGAAATAAGAATTCACTGAGTTAGAAGCCAAGATTAAGATTTCTTCTTTAAACTCTAGGATACTTGAAAACTCTTTTCCTTATTATATTTTTAAAAGAAAAAAGATTTTAAAAATTGTAATCCTGTTTCTATGGTATATATTTTCATCACAGAAGAATAAGCATCCAAGTAACCTTAACTGGATGCATAAGATATAAACTCTTTGTTATTTATTATTTTAGATTAACAATAGTTCTTATTACTCCCAAGATTATTATTTTGTATGTAAGTGGACTTTGCAAAACAAAACAGTGAATTCAAAAGCAGAGTAGGTTACAAACTGGTAGCTTCAGGCAAATTTGGATCAGTAGACACATCCAAACAATTCATAATTCTAATATTCTTTATTTTATAACAGTAACTAGAATCAAGGAAAAAGTAATTATCTGTCTGTAAATGATCCTAGAGGTTTAAATGATAAACAATTTAATGGAGAAAATGAATATATTTCTGGTTTGCAAAATTTTCCTTTTTAGATCAATGTTTAGACTATCAAATGGTCTTACATAATCTAAAATGCAGCCCTTAAGTCTTATCTCAGTGAGGAATGTCTAGAGTTGTGTTCCAGGATGACTCTGCAGGAAACACACGAGGAGAAATTCAGTACTGAGGTCTACTCTAGTTATTTTAGAATATTTTCACAAATCCATCGGTATACATATAAGCCCAAGACGTCTCTGAACATGAATCCAAATAAAAGGATTCTTAGAAGAGGAAAGTTCTTTTGTTCCTATGACATATATTTTCTTTCTTCTCTTCCTGTGGCATATATTTTCACCACAGAAGAATAAGTGTCTAAGCAACCTTAAACTGAATGCATAAAAGCTCATGTTTAAGAATTCATCTTTATACAGAATCAGGAGTTGCTTTTATGAAGGTCCCCTTCATTGCTTATTCATGAAAACTAAATAAGGGATTCTTACCACTTTTGGAATCAGAGGATTAGAATTTTGTTTCAATGATATACATCATCAAAATTTGGAAATTTAACATTTTAAGATAACGTTGTGAAATCATAATCACAAAATAAAAAATATATAAATGGCTACAAAGGGAAAAACTAATTTTAT